TTATTCTCTTGAGCCCGCTCGGGGGGGGGGGGGGGGGTCGGTTTTTTTCTTTGTGTTGGGGTGGGACACAGGGTTTTTTTTCAATTCATTTGGGCCTGTTCACATTTGGGGTGGGCGTAGGGAAGGAGTTCGTTTTTAGGGTTTTTGTGTGTGACGCACGTGCCTTTTGACTTCCCTTGCGCCCCCGCAGGGGGGGGGGGGGGGTCGTGTCTATCCTTGTGCTCGGGTGGGACACACGTGCCTGCTTCACATCATGTTTTGCCTGTTGACATCTTGCGCGTGCGTGCGGAGGGAGATCGTGTCAATTGTGTGTGGGTGTGACGCAAGTGCCTGTTCACATCCCGCTGCCTGCTCACACGCTTGTGGCAGTTCACGCGGAGGTGGCGGTGTCTAGTGTGTACGGGCGGACACGTGCCTGTTGACACCCTTGCGGCAGTGCACTGAGGGGCATCGTGCCTGCCGCTGTCACACACGGTTTCGACATGACGCTACCGCTGCTGCTGTGTGATTTTCTCTTTCTTTTTTTTGGTCAGGAGGAAATTCTTGTCCGGGAGCACGGTATTCATAAGAATAAATGGGCGCAGATCGCCAAGTCTCTCCCGGGGCGCTGCTCCAACGACATCAAGAACCATTGGTGAGGACAAGAAAGAGGGTTAGGGTGAGAGAGCGAGATTTGAGAAACAGAGGTTTGAGAAACAGAGGTGTCGCGGGACGTGGGCATAGAGAGCGAGAAGCGGGGAGTGAGAGAGAGGCAAGAAAGAGCGAGAGAAAAAAGAGAGAGTGAGAGGGACAAGAGAGAGTGGGAGAGGGAGAGCGCGCGCGGGAGCAGGGCTCGCTGTGTGTGTGAAGTTTTCCTAGAACCGAGGTGGACCGCTGTTTTTTTCGCCGAGGCCCAAGCAAGTACGTCCTTGTGCCAAAATTTTGAATTTCTCGTCGCCACCAGTCCGGATTGTGGTATGCACACAGCACGGCTTGATAGCACCGACCCACACAGGGAACAACGAAGACTGCCGCGGGTGATCTGCTGCTACGATTCTAGCCGACTGCTAACTCCCGCCCTCTCCCCCCAACCCCTTCATGCGTTGTTCTCCGTATCTGTTCTTCGGTACAGGTACGCGCACGAGCGACGGCAGAGAGAGATCTCGCGGGCTTCCACGTCGTCGACGGCGGCGACGGCGACGGGGACCCCGCCCATCGTCGTGCAGCGCACAGCAAGGCCTTTCCCCATGTCCGCGAACCCTTATCTGGCCAGAATACTGCCTGCTCCCCCCCCTCCGGTCTTGGTCTCGGCGCCCTCGGCCGCCGCCCCCGTTTCTTCCCCCCCGGCCCCCCCTTCCGCACCCCCGGCCCTTGCTGCCGCTCCCCCTGCTCCTGCCCCGACCCCTGCCGATATCCCGCCGCTCATTGAGCAGCGGCAAGTTCTGTCGGAGTCGAAGCATGGCGGAGAGCATCACCACAGCGGCGGTGTCGGCGGGGTGCTGCTGGAGCGGCCGCAGGAGCCGCCGATATCGGCGGCGCCGGGGGGCCCGGGCGACGGTCATTTCCTCGGGGGGGTGGTCGTCGACTGCGGCGGCGCCCCCGAGCAGCACGAGGAGTCCGTTGAGGTGGAAGACAGACACCGAGACGGCAGCATCGATGACGGCTTGCTCCTCCAACAGCCGGCGGGGGACTACGACCCCACTCACGTCGCCGGGAGCGGCGGCCACGGGGGCCACGGCGGCGGCAGCGGCGGCGGTGGAGACGGCGGTATGGACGACCACGATCACGGCGACATGATGATGATGATAATGGCTTCGCATGCCATGCCTCTGCCGCCGCCACCAGCCCCTGCGGCGGCCCCAGCGCCCGCCCCGGGAACGGATGCCGGGGGGGTTTTGGTGGGCCCTGTGCCATCGGCGGAGGAAGAAGTTGATCCAGAGCAGGACTTCGGGTTGCCGCTCGCCAAACGCGCTCGGATTGATGGCGGCGATGACGGCGGCGGCGGAGGTGGTGGCGGCGACCCGGGCGGGGAGGGTCACGACATGCTGATTGATGGCAGCGGCGTCAGCAGTGTGGGTGTGGGTGATGTAGAAGACGAGAACACCGTTGCTGATAGCTTCGTGGGAAGCGGGTTCGGCAGTGATGACCACGCGGCCGTGGATGCCGGCGGCGGCGGCGGCGGCGGTGGGAGTGGCGGCCGAATTGACGATGACGTGGTCGGAGCCGGCAGCGGTGTGATGGACCACTTCGGCGCGACAGAGATTGGCGGCGGCGGCGGCGGCGGCGGCGAAGGAGGCGGCCTGGAAAGGTTCGAAGACGCCGGGACCATCGGTGACGGCGACCTGGAGAGGTTCGAGCCGGCAGAGGCAACGGGGGACGTCGACAACGGCGGTGGCAGTCCCTCCGCTGCGGCCCGTCTTGAAGAACACCACCGACACCACGCTGGCATCGGTTCTGACGGCGAAGGCGGCCACGACGGTGTTGACGGAGGCGACGCAGATTGCGTGTTCCCTGGGTGGGACAGACTTAGGACCGAAGACCCAAAGATGCACTGAGTCCTGTAGCAATTCCGTATTACTATGGACCGTCAGTCTTGGCCCACCACGTTGAACGTTTGTGTCGTGTTTGTTCGTTGTGTGTGCGCGATTTTGGTACTGCTAACGTGTACCAGCTTGTTCTGTCTTGGTTAGGTGTGAAGAGTAGTTGTCTCTCGTATTGGTATTCCGTCCGCGGTTTGAGTGTGGCTGCGGATCGCTGTTTGAGTGGAACGATTAGAGCGAGGTGATGGTGTAGACATAGGTCGGTGGATGAATGGTTCTGGTGTGTATGTTTTGCGCGTCCGAGTGCATAAGCACGAGGATGTTTTGAGTGATTTCGAAGTTGTGAATTCCCGGTCCTACGTATGCATGGGTGCAGACCCTTTGTATTCATCGTTGGCTGAAGTGGGGTGTTATCGTTTGTTTCCTTGTCTGCGCACGTGGATGGCTCACTGTGGACGAATTGTCGTACCATGCGACCTTCGACGGTTCACATAACATCAACATCTCGACGTACCTCATGCCGTCATGACTTGTTGGGTGTGCTGCCCCGGCGTAACGCCGGCTGATCCCTCTGTCTGGAAACTGCTCAACGCCCCCAGGGCGAGAGAGAGCCGCGCGCATCTGTTTAATTTGTGCGTCGACGGCCTTCGACGTCCACAACGGGCGCCCAGGCCGTGCGTCACACAAATCTGGTCTCGGCCTACACATGACAGGAAGGGAAGGGCACCATGGATCAGAAGCTCGTGATGCTGTCCCCGTTGACATGACTTACCTTCTTTTACAGTCAACCCCGGCGCTTAGAAGAGGAAGGCCCGGTCGTACAAACCGGGTCACCGACACCGCAGAGATTGATTCTCTTCACAAAACATTATCCATGGATTGGGGTGGATTTGTTTTCATGTTTATTTACTCCAAGAAAAAAAAAAAAAAACGCTAACTGCCCGCCAACTGCCCACCAGATGTGGTCCACCTCCCGCAAGGAACGTTCGTCCCTCTGCTTTTTGCCTCCTCTTGCCCCAGAGCGCCCCACCGGCACACACAGCAGCCCCCACTGTTTGCATCCTCAGAGAGAAAACCTGCGTGGACTACGGTATACTTGGGCTTGCGCTACTTTTCGGCTTCGGCCGTGCCGCAGCGCGCCGTCCTCCCGCAAGCATCGCAAAGACTCTTTCGCGGATGCCTCCGTAAGCGACACAACCCCAAAACGAACGCACCCACGAAAGACGGCGGTAGTTCCAGCGACACCCCCAGCTTCACGGCGAAGACTCGTTCGGTCTCGGTTGCTAAAAGCCGTACCGCACTACCCAACAACCGCAGTGCTCCACGTCCCACCCGTAATAATCCACCCAGAGCTACACGTCACACAACACGGTCTGCCGGTACCTGATGTCGTGCTGACAGTGTTCTCATCTAGTAACCCAGTGGTATGTCACGAGCTAACCCTTAACCCCGACCCTCACGAAGGGTTGGAGAAGCGCGCGAGGGGGGGCTGGCGGCAACTAGACACGTTCGCCGCGTTCCACCAGCTGTCACGCAAGAATATGACACGGGGGAGCTTGGTGCCAGGTCTGTCTTACATGAACCTGGAATCAGGGCCGGGCGGCAGAAACGGGGGCATGAGCAGGAACGCAGGAGGTTAGACAAGGCCGGAGGCACTAGCTGGTCGGCCAGTACCTTCAACAGGGTGGCGTTTGAGCCTTCTTGACGGAGGTTGTATTCAAGGTATCAGGAGAGATGCTGCACTCTGGAATTCACTCTCCACGGAAGCCTGGGCTCACTCCCAACCGACCGAAATTTCATGCATACCTGATCAGAGACGAGTTTCATTCAACAGGAACACTCGTCAACAAAAAAAAAAAGGCGAAGACTGCACGCGCAGGGGCTCAAACAGGCATTCTTCGCGGGCCACATCACGCGCATGGAAGTGAACTTCATCAACGAGGCATCAAGGTGAACCAGCGACATTGGAAATATGATGGACCTTAATGGGAAAGCGAACCCATACTCACAACAGCACCATATAGAGTGAAGTCCATAGCATGCCGAAAACATTTCTCGACTCTCTCTCTCCAGTTCTCTCGACACTCGTTCGTACCAACTCACATTTCAGCCTCCCATCAGACAGCTCACCCACTACAGTCGTGTAGAATAAGCGTTCGTATTCAATCTTTCCCGGGACACCTGATTCTCCATGAATTCACTCCGATAGTCATGGAACCCGAACCCGTTTCCACTTCGGTCTTCAATTTGGCGCGGGACATCTGCCTCTTGAGTGAACTCACTCCGCGTGATTGTCATCTTTGGGTCGGAAATCTATATATTGAGTGTCGATTTCCAGCACCGTGTGGGACGACGCCTGCCTCTCCAGCGACTTCAATTCACTCTGCAGGAATTCTGCACCGTTTTCATTTCTCGTGTGGGACCCACGCCTCTTCTGCAAAACCTCACTCCGCAGTGATGAAGCAATTCGAGCGTCGATTCTCAGGATCATCGTGTTGGGAGCCTGCAATACCTCACTCCTCCTGCCCAACCCCCTCTGCATTGGTTTCTATCACAGTGTTCGCGGCCCTGCCTCTCTTTGTGCCGACTCACTCCGCGATGATGTAAGCCTTGTAGATGGACATGAACTTGGCGACGAAGGCCTCGAGGTGGAGGATCTCCTTGCTGCCCATGTGCAGCCGGTGCTCGTAGAAGGCCGCCCACTTGAACACCTCGCCCCACAGCTTGCAGTCCAGGTTCTTGACCAGCTCTCGCGTCAACGTCTACGAACAACAGGGAGCGCGGCGCAGAGTAGGGCAAGCATTGAATTCTCCTTGCGTGAACAACCGGAAGAAAAACACACACCCCTTTCACGGGGTCTCAGATCAAAGCCTTTAGAAGCGCTTCCCGTTTCCAGCAGCGTTGAGACTGACGTTTTTTCATTGGTCAGCCGCTACCTTACAAAAAAACACCGAAGAAAACTTGCGCACAAACGCCGCGGAAAGCTCGATAGAGCCCAATTCTAGTACACGCACTGCCGGGTGGCGCGTCAAAATGGAGAGCTTGCGGGCGGCACGGCTGTATCTTCCTTCGTCCTTAGCAGCTACGGAGCACTTTCCCACAACGACGGAACGTGCGGAACTGAAAATCTCCACCAAACGTCCCGTCAGCCGATCTTAAAAATTGTTGTGTCAGATCGACACAAGCTCCGGCCGTTCTCTTAGTGCTTTCACGTGATCCCTTCGGAGTGGGCTCATGAAGGCGCAACAGCGTCATCGAACGGGGTGATGCGAGATGAAAATAAAAACAGGCTGCAGGACCAAACCGCAGCTGATTGCCAGCTGCGTTGAAACGTTTCCCAAGCTCAACAACTCAGACAGCAAACGTGTTCTCCTCTCAAACAGCCCAACGAACCTCTACGAAAAAATAAAAAAACAACAATCTTCGATACAGTCATGAATGCAGTTATACTGTTACGTATATTTTTATCCCTTTTTTCTTCTCACCTTGAGGATGATATCCGCCGGGATGCAGTTGGTCAGGAGCTCATACAGCTTCTCCCTCGCCTCAAGCAGCCTGACCAAAGAACGAAACAATCGAAATACAACACGCTTTACCATGAGCTAGCTAGGTACAGCAGAACAGCGAAAACACAGCAGTACTGCGAGGTCGAAACAGTGGTGTTTTAGCGACACGATGAACCCACCGCTGTAGAGTAACCCGCCAAAAAGCCGCAACTCTTGTCAGGTACATCCCCATTTTCTTGACCTACACATATGAAGCAAGAACACAGAAAACACCATAGCCAAATATAAACCAGGTACGACAGCGCAGCAGCATCACCATCACCATTATTCGCCAGCAATCAGTAGCGAATCTGCATCACCTGCGAGGACTTTGCTCCAAGACTACCTCCCTGGCCAGCTGTGTGATGTAGTTCTCCCAGTCCGTCATCTGTACCTCTTGGTCCTCCGAGAAAGGGTACCTAATCCGGACCAAAAAAAGAAGAAAAAAGGGCCAGAAAAAGGTCCGAAATTTGTTGCTGTCGCTGTTGTCAAACTACAAACGTTTCGGTCAACGCTCAGCATGCATAACGATCCGACACACGCGGACGCCTTCGGTGGATGCAAGCCAGCTACCCCAAAAAAAAGATGGTACACAGCTGGCAAAAAACCAAAGAACACAATAAAAATGAGCCCGAAAAATCATTACAAAGCAGTTGCACAAGAACGACAGCCACCACAGGGCGGGGTATGCACGTGTGTATGTGTGAGTCATGAAGAGACGGAGGAGCCGACGCACCCGCCAACTGCACCTCTCCTCCGCACGTCTTTGGGCGTACATGGGGGCCTCTTCCTCGGCAAGATCAGAAACAAAAATGTTAATATTCATAAAAAGAAAGAACGACCGGCGGGAAATGCATCCAGGAGACACCCTGCTAACTCTAACCCTAGGTGCGCCGTGTTGACAACCACAACAAACTGTCGGGAAGGTGCATATCAAAGGTGAAGATATGTACACCATGTGTACCAATTGGCACATCCGGCGTAGGCGAGCAAAACTGCGTCGGGGAGATCGGGAAGGGTGGGGGGTATACTCGCTTCCTTCGTATTTTGGGGGCCAAGTGAGCACAACCGCCGCCGGTGTGCGCGTAGTCCTCAAACAAGGCAGCTGTTTTCGACGTCGACCTGCCCTCTACGTCGCTCTCTAAAATGGTGACTGGCGATCGCCTGCGGCGTCGGTTCTTCCTACATTTTCGTCTTGTACGCTGCTGGGCACAACGCAAGTTCAACACGGTTTCGGGCATGGAGCTGTGGCACGGGCCCTCTGCTGGTCAATCCGACAACACAGGCTGTTTCATGTTTGCTGCGGTCGGCGCAGAAGTTGTCCTTGACTTCAAGAACGTTTAGGCCTCTATCAAGCCCACCAAAAAACACCATACTGCTCCAGCCGTCCAACGATACTAACTCCTTTCTTCACAGCAGGCAGAAGACGGAGCACTCGTCCCATTACAGCACGAAAATGCACAACTTAAAAAAAAAAAAAACGGAAGACTTACTGCTGGACCCGACACGCCTCGATCATGAGCACCGCCCGTCTGAGGTTCCTCTTCGAAACCTTGGCCACGCGCGCGGCCAGTGCGGGCGGCAGGGTGAGGGACTCCTTCCGGCACACCGACGTAAGCACGCTGCACACCTGACAAGACAGACACATAGACAGGCAGGCAGGCAGGCAGGGAGGCAGGCAAACACACAGTGGGGGGAAGTAAAAGTACAGTATGGAGCGGGGGACCAAAAACCGGAACAAGAAGCGCTCGAGCTCGGGAAAAAAAACACTTTCTCACGTGGAAGACGCCGATCGCGCTCGAAAGACTGCACCAGGCTACTTAGGCCACCAAAGTCATTCAAGGTCTGTTCGCCGCAAGGACAAAGGTGTAAGCAAGTCAACCGGAAGTTGGTGGGGGCTAATATTGCCGCGTACCACCGTACACCGCTCCTAGCTTCCCGTGCTGACCATGCCAAGTACCCCTCACGCCTATCCGGTTCGTGAAAAAAAGGCCACAAAACGTCCTTGACCCGCTCCGAAACGAACCCTATTTCTGCGGGGCTCCCGACATGGATGACGCCCGTCGGCTCCTCTACTCCGTCGATCACCAAGGGCACCACAAAATAGTGCCGATAGCTGGCAAGCCAAAACACCTACCTACATGGTCAGCAATCCATCGTTGGGCAACAGGCAAACAGTGGAAACCCTGCTGCAAGGTGGCAGCCAAACTTTGTTGCGTACATATTCTCGCTTCCGTTTCTTATAGCGGAAGGTGCTACCGTCGTTCGTGTGGACACTCTTGATGGAGGAGAGAGGTGCACAGGGACCGCAAGAGTGCTGGGAATGGACCGCAAGAGGGCTGGGTAGAGAGAGGAACCGTCCTGTGTGGCCACGGCAGAAATGCTGTGAGCGCTGATTGAAAGTGAATACAGCGTGGCTCTGATATTCACAGCATTTCTGATTGATAGAGGTACCTCACAAGAGGGGGGTCCGATATAAGAGGGTCGAAATAGGTTGTCACGGACTCGACCCTCGATAGTATATAGTTGGGTACCCTCTTATTCCGGCATAGGAGGGTCAAGGGCCTTTGTCACACCACCCTCTCATATCTGAGCCACGACTGTGACAGAAAAACAAAATAACACGTCAATTTTCTATTTTTTCTTCTTCTCCCCCCTCCGCTCACCTCCGACTCGGAGGGTGCTGGGACCCGCACGCCGAGGCAACGGGAGCGAACCGGCTCGATCACCTTGCTAGGGCTGTGGCACAGCAAGATTAGTCGGCACGACGAAGTGTACCTGTAGTCAGGAATCGGGAAAGTTCGGGGGAAGCAGATACACGTGGGGTTTGTTGGCGGGGAAGAGAAGTGGGTCACTCGGAATGCGGGGGAGTTGGGTGGGGAGTTGGGGCGCGGGCAGAAAAAAAAAAAGGCACGACGGTGGAGGCTGCAGCAGCGGTAGTACTCAGTAACTAGCGCAGAAACACTTGGGGCATCTCGAAGTCCCGGAACGGAGCAAACGCGTTACATGTACGCCGAGGTAAGACGAGAAAGGTGGTGTGTGTGTTTACAGCAGCAACAGGCTCGGTCTGCTCACCTCTCCATCGTTCGCCTCAGCCCCGCTTGCGCCTGCTTCGTCAGCCGGTCAACTCCAACCAATACCACCACTGCATCCAAACGCCACCATCACCATCACCATCACCATCATCATCAGCAGCAGCATGAGCAGCAGCAGCAGCATGAGCAGCAGCATCAGCAGCAGCAGCAACAGCAGCAGCAGCAGGGGCCGACGATCAACAGCGGCAGGCAGCCCAATACAACAACGAAACCAAAGTCCAAACGAAGACAGAAGATCATCGTTTCATGCGGACCCTTGCCTTCCGCGTGCAACGGCAGTTGCCGCAAACCACCGCCCATTACATGCTAGAAAGCACACCTGGTCGTCGAAGGAAATGAAACACTTCCGCAGAACAGTGAAGAACTATTTGATGTTGTACTCCACGGAGACGACGACTTGCCGTTACCCCTCCTCCTCCCTGAGCACCCACCGACTACCTTGTGTGGCGGCTCTTCGACGACAAAATATCGTTGTACACGAGGTCCGACTGCAAACGTTAAGCCACACCAAGATGTTCACCAACCACATGGCGTCGTTCGGACAAAACCAGCTTGCTTCTGTTGTTGCCCAACACACTCTTCCCTCTCTGCCTCTTTCTCTAAAATGCTCTCTTTGACGCGGGGAAAAAATGGGTTCTAATTACTGACCTTTGTGACCGATCTTCGATTTCTTGTCGTCGCTCCCACCCCCGCCCATGCTCGCCGAGATCGATCGGTTCTGCGCGATCTCCTTGATGATATCCTGTGAAAATTTGGTTGTGGGTTAGGGATTAGTGGGTTATTTAGTCTGGGTGACTGCAAGCCCACGAAGAGAAGATGAAAGTCAGAAAAAAAAAACATCGCATGGGGTGGTGTACTGTTGCGGGGACAATATCTATTTTAGATTAGGTTTCGTTTGGCCATCGAGAGACACGAACCAAAGGTCGACCGAGAGGGCCAAGAACAACCCGGTTATTCGTCGTACATGCATGCAGCAACAAACAAGAAGCGCTCATCACACGGGCGGCAGGGGAACGCCGCCACCGTGGACACAACACCATCAAACCGCACCATAGCGGTACGCACCTGCACCACGTAACGGTCGTAGATTCCCGCGTCCCCCGGCGACATCTCGATGTGGTAGTTCGAGGCCACCGTCGTGAGCTCCACGACTCGGTTGCTGGGCGTCTTGAAGCTGCGGTGCTCCAGCCTCACCTGCCCAGCGCGGTTCGGGTGAGGGCAAGACGCACTCGTCGTAAACAGCAGTGACGCAAACATGGATCGGAAATACACAGCGCGCGTCGCGGCCGAGCAAACACGCACAGCCTGTTGGGGTCGAATTTTTACGACACCGAATTTCTCCGTAACACACAACGTACGCGGAAAAACGGGACGCACATGACACGCACAAAGTGCGCTAGATACTTGTCGCCCGTGGGGTATGTCCTCCCCGCCCCTCTCGCAAGGACGTCAACGCTCAATACTTCCACGACGCCTCTGCTGTGCAAGCGTCATAGGCTGCAACGGAGTCACCGCTCGAAAAAGTAACAGACACAGATGTGCCTCCCTAAAACGCCGTGAAGCCAACATGGTTCTCGGAGTGCTACTTATTGTTTCATGCTTCCCTCGCCCGTGAGCAGCAAAACGTTCCAGTCTGCATTCGGACAGGCCTCGTGTTCTACAATAGTGGTCTCACCCTCTCTGCCCCCGGGCCGTAGATGCGCTTGAGGAGTGCCAACACCCTCGTCTTTTTCCCAGAGCCGGCGGGGCCGTAGAACAGAAGGTGCGGGATTTCGCCGTCTTCCGACTTATGTCGTGGGGGTCGTTTCGAGGAGAGAAGGAGGTTTGGGGGGCGGGTCGGGCGGGAGTGAAGGTGAAAGCGTGCAGATCATGTGCATGTGCTGAGATTCTATCGTGTTTTTCTCGGGTCCAGGCAAGGACTCGTATGCATACAACGAAAACTACAGCAGCGAAAGCTGCCTGCAGTTTAGGCGAAAAACAAAACATGGTTACTACTTTCTAAATACATGTTTGATAGATTTACGTATGCATACTTGTACCGAGAACTACTCGTCAACATTATTCAAATGCCTCTCCATGCCGCGCAAAAAAGGCTCCATAAACACTCATTGAACACACGAACTGACTGCTGTTTGTATGCACTCTTCAAATTAAACTCTAGCAAATCTTACACTTTGCAGGGGGGCTCCGCAGATAGATCCATTGAACTTGAAAAATCAGCGAAAAAATAATAGGTGTACAAACATATTTAGCTTGTGTAATGAAATTGGGTGCGGGTGTACAACCAACCCCAATGCTTACAAAAACGCTCGGGCACACAGGGTACTAGCATGTCCCAACAACCAGTAGGTGTACCGCTGCACCGCTTCTGGTCGTCTCTTCTGGTCCCTATATGCATGTGTCAAGACGAGAGCCGCCGCGCGCGCAGAAAATTCAAATTTGAAAATCAGAGCAGCCACCGTGCCAAACGCCGCACACAAGAGGTACGTTACAGTTCTCGCGAGTGGAATGCTACCACCATGGTACAATTTAGAGCGTAGTCCGATCGTAAAAGAACACTCAATGACCCCCAGTATTGCACAGCTGCTGCTCGCTGCAGTTTGCAGTCCGCACGCTTCAGCACCTTTAGTCTGCAAGCTGCGCTGCTGTGCTGAACAGCCAGCCCCTGCTGCACGCCTGCAGCGTGCGCCGCCCGATGCACCTGCCTCTCTCTCTAGCACCCAGACATGGTGCTAACGCGCGTGGCAACGAGAAGATCCCTCCTCCTCCCACCCCTGAATGTGCTTCTCCTGTGTGGAGAGTGCAACTACTCACCATAGCAGCCAGCCTCGTTGTTAGCTCCGGGTGAACATCGAGGCTGTCCAAGGACTTGGGTCGGTGCTTATCAACCCACAGCATGGTTGGACGATGCGTATCCCTGTTCCTCCTTCTCTACAGAACAAAATTGCTGCGAGGTGAGTTCACGTCGAAGGAGATGGATGTTACGCGCCCCCGCTGACGAAGTGTTCCCTCTGCACTCAAGAGCTGGAGCTGCGTTCTCTGGCCGTTGCCCAAACCCAAAACGAGGGGAAAAATACTCTCAGGTAGAATACAGAGGGATTTTTTTATTTTTTTGGTATCCCTTTATGTGGTACTGGTATCGGTCGGTACCCTTCCGAATGCGCGGAACCCCCTCGGTTGCTCCGCAATTATTTGTGCTCCGTTACAGCAGCACACTCTGCCATTTATTTCACTTATATTATGCCGCACCGCAGCAGTCAGGTCCCTTCCTAGAGCGCGCATTTCGTACCACCCTAGAAGAGCAAGTAGGGCATACAGTGCATCTCTAGAGACGCACCCAGCTTCATCTTCGCTGCCTCATACTTCCTCGTGTGCCAGCCCGTATATGAAGTAGTAGGTGAGGAGGTGAAGGAATTTGTTGAGTGTTCAATCTCTCCGCAGGTGTCGGTATTTCGTGTTTTTGGTGTCGCGTGCTTGAATTTTGTCCCCACCATCGAAAAAGGGCGTTAGATCCCCCCTCTCCTGTTTGCATACCTCGGGGTGGCTGGTGCGCTTGTCCATTGTTGTTCTCTTCTGGTTTTGCGAATGTAAACCGTTTGTGTTTGCCCGACGGATGAAGCCCGAGAATTACCAACAACAACCCAAACGACGAGGATTTATGTCTCGACGTCTCGACTTCGTCTTTGCTGTGCTGCCACATATGACCTCTCACGGTATGTGTATCGTACACGAAGCGTGCCAAGCTACAGAAAGGTACGCTGTATTTATTGTGGAGCTTTTTCTCTGAAACTGCAAAACTCCCTGCCACCTTTCTTTCCTTTTTCAGAGTGCCCGTCCGAACTGCCATACTTCGGCCCGACCGAAAGTGCGGGAGAACATATTTAAGGCATTGGCCGACTGGTTTTCCGTGATGTACCTGTTTCCCAACCGTCGCTTCGTTTCCCTCTCTCGGCTTTCGGCTTCAAGCAACAGTAGAGGTCCCTGTTTACTGCCGTTAGGTGCCCAGAAAATTCACCGGCACTATTCAAAGTATTAAGAATGACTTGGACATTCAGTGTGTGCCCGCCGAAAGCACCGTCACTATACCGGGCACCGGCTTTTTTTTCTGGCGCTAAACAGGGACCTCTACTGTAGCTCCTCATGAAACAGTTTTGCTCATGCGGAAATCCCCCCTGGTGTTTGCCATCGGGGTTGGGTTTTCGTCGCTTGGCAATGACGTTGTAAACAAGCCGTTCACTTCGTGAGCTCAGCAACCAGGTTACCGCTTTTTTCGTCCTTTGTTTTTTACGGTAACCATGTTGGTCTATGGTGTGCGTGCATGGTCGAGAACCTTCACTCCGCCCCAAGGGTATAATGATCAAGCACCCTCGAGGCAGCTACACAGTGCTTATAACTGTCTCTGAAACTTGAATGCACCACAAAATACATTATGTCATTCCCGGCTGTCATCCGCAGCCAGGAAGGAAGTAAGCACAAGATGCCCGAACACCCATAGCATCATGCAGAGCACCCTTCATGCGACTCGCCGAATACCTCACGGCGCTTCCCGCTTGGTGATGTGAGAGCCTGGTCCGGTGATAACGCGGCGTGCTCCGTCCGGGGACGGCTTTGTGGGGATGCGAAATCAATGGTCTAACGACTACGGGATGACCGACTATGAGTATACCCTCCCCCTTCCCTTGCGCGCCTTGTCGGGATCACGGGAAACAAAATCACAGACATGGACGAGTTTCGGAACAGGCTAGCTCCATTCCTGACGCAATCACTCGGCAACATGAAACAAAGGATCACTCCTCAGCTACCCGATCTCGAGAATCACCGGGGGAGTGGTTCAAACACTGGGATCAGGTCAGGCCGACCTCTTGAGTAGAGACATTTGATATAATCGAATGCCGTGGTCGTCTTCGTGCGTGCTTCTGTGGTTTGTTGCTATGCCTTCCGGAACTCGTCGTGTAGCGATGCCGATAAGCTGATAGGAAAGGCGTCGCGAGCGGCTCCTGCTGAGGAGGAGGCGTCGATATGGTTGTGTTGCGGGCAGTCAAGAGCACATTTTGGTTGTAGGCTGCAGAGTGTACGGAAGTAGAGGTGTCGCAGGCAGGTCTGCGAATTTCTCGTAAAGGCAGCGGTGCCGCGATGAACGAAACTTGTTCTTCCCGCTTGTCACATATTGTAACCACGATCGCTGGGGTTTCATGACTAGTATCTGTCCCACACCCTTGCCTTCCTGTTGCTCCGCTGTTTCCGTCGCTGGTGCTATCGTGGATGCTGTTGATGCCGGTGTTGCTGTCGTTGTTTCTGTTGCGTCAACTGTCCCTGTTGTCGGTGTCGTTTCTTGTTGTTGCTGGCTGTCGTTTTTCGTTGCTTCCTTTTATTTTGTGCCGATGTTTTGCCTTGGTTGGTGATGACTGTTTTTTGTCCACCTCAACAATATTTTTTTGTCGTATTGACGTTTGTTTTTTGTTGCCCAAAGCATGGATCAGGATCCTTGGAGCGCCCCGAGATCGTGCGGGCACTCATCAAGACCATCCCGGAGTTCACGGGACGCGACGGGGATTGACTCGGGGGGACGTTTGCAGCCATCTGGTCGATCTTCGACCCTAATCAGGACGGTGAGCGAGCTGTGGCGAGGATCTAATCGTGTTTTTGTTGTAGCCCAAGGAAGGTTTTGGCGACACACTGAAAGAGACAGACAAGTTTCCACCCAGATAGATAGACAGACAGACAGACAGACAGACAGACAGACAGATGCGGATAAACACAAGAGGCAGGTACAGATAGCGACAGAGAGAGAGAGAGAGAGAGAGAGAGAGAGAGAGAGAGAGAAATAGAGAGAGAGAGGCTGCAGTGCATTTTTCCGCTCCCCAGCGTGGAACAGTGCGCGTTTGTATTTTGTTTCTGTTCGCACCTCCTCGACCTCTTATTTTTTCCGCCAGCCCAAACAAAATGGACTTCGTGCTGATCCGCATCTGACGCAAGGGCCGCTCACGCCTGAACGTTGCAAACCCAGCAGCAACAGACATTGACAGTTGGCTGTCGCTGACGTAGGTTGGGCGCCTGCTGCATTGTTTGCGTTTCTTTGTCTGCGTGACGTTGACGGTCGGAGAAAGTTTCTGATACCCCCCTCCCGTTTCCCTCCCCCGCCCATCCCAGTTGATGGTGAAAGGGGGTGGGTAGACGTGAAACTGCCGTGTGAGGTATACATCGGCGTGGCGGACGAGGAGCGACTAGATTTTGGCGTAGGTTAGAGGTAGATCCAAATCGAAGCTCTCGTATGCTCGAGTGCGACGAGTGATTTTCGTCGTCTCGCCGCAATTGATTAAACAGCACTCATGCCGTGCCCAGCCACACCCAACACCCTACAGTATCTGCCCCGATCGGACCGGGGAAACGTGTGATGTGCTGCTCCGTCACGGCTTTGTACGGTGCGCGAGAGTCTCACCGCGCCCTATCCTGCCCCCTTTCTCACGTTTGTTTGTTGGATGGCTTGGAATCCTTGAAGGGGCGATTACGGGAGCGGAGTTCATGATACCCCGGGGCCTGCACGAGACCCTCGTCGCTAACGTTTGCCGGCATGGTATGTGACGCACGCACGCACGCTTCGCGACTTTGCGGGGCGATGAACCAAAGGGCGTGGGGGGTCGGTCGATGAATGGATTTCGGGTTGCGGTAGGCTTGGCGTTATCGAGTTCACAGGGGAGTGTTCTCGAGAAGGGTTGGGTTGTTCTGGAGTCCTAAATACTGGCAAGCGCCCTGTCTCCAGGCACAACTCCCTACTGAGAGGTGAAATTGTTTTCTGTCCGCAGTCATTCATTCTACAAAAAGTGGATATGATTCCGGATAGTTCCGAATGTTACAACCGAGTTGGACAGTTCTCGAAGTAAGCCAGATATGAGTTATTGAAGAACGTAGTTGAATTTGAACCAGTTCGTGCAACAATCGGATCTGAATGGTCATTGGGTTCCTTTTTTTTCGCCTTTGCCAACCGCACGATTTCTTGGTAGAGGTTCGGCCTACGTTTGCTCTCGTCGAGCACCAAGGTTTGGGTTTTCTCCCGAAATACAGGAAGAAGTGGAAAGAACGACATTTCTCAAGATCGTCCACTTCTTGTTTGACGCCGTATGTGACAGAAAACATGTCACACACCTGGACCATATGTTGGTTGCTTGCTCCGAGACAGAGATCTGTCGACGAAGAAACACCCTCATTCTCGCCGTCCTCTACTCGACGCAAACTAGTCGAACCTCAGCTCCTGGTTTTCGTTCTTGCATGCGTGTTGCTCGTGCGTGTCGCGGCAGGACTTGGCAACTTAACACTCACTGCGCGAGAGCGACAACGTCACAATTTGCTTCTGGACAATCCCCAGCCAAGACTCGAAGCTGCTGTTCCCCCCAAGGACCCCTGCGAGCGTTGGACACCTCACATGCCAGGTAGAGGGCACTTTTCGCTGGTGAACAGGTTCGATTCGTCTCTAGAAACGTACGGTGTGGGCGATTAGGGAATCCGCCTGCACTTGCGATACGGCTGCCTGCTGGATGGGCAATGCGCCGGCCCAGTGTCAGTCATCCCGACGGAGAGGTACGTCGTGGCATGCGGCGGGAGCTCTTTTTTACTGTCGGCGGTGGTCAACTGCCAGCCACCAGGTCCATTTCAAGCACCCCTGGACCTTGGCTTCCGCGTCGGAGAGGATGAGGACGACGACCGGGCTTGGAGTGACTTAGGCGATGACGATCGTCAAGAGAACATCCAAAGCCTCCGGGACACTCATGAGGTGATTGAAGCTTGCAAGTGTTGTTGCCCGCGGTGGACTCCACATTGCGTCGCCCAGTATCGAAGACTCCTTTCTCTGTTGAATCTTTCGCATACTACGAGAACGAGGCACACCGCTGGGAGAAGTATACAGTGTATACCGAACACGCAGATTATGAAATGCAACAGTTGTATCAACGCCAAGACGCAGGCTAGGGCCGTCATACCACATCAAATATGCGATATGCCTTCCGTTGTCGATTGGTTTGTTTTGAGGGCCCTGAGCCTCGAGGAGAGACACGAAATGGCACTAGCGATAAAATATGCCAAGTCAGCGTAGCACGTACCTCAGGCAAACCGTTAGGGGCCTGAATAAGTCTTTTTGTACGCGAACGTGATCCCGACTTGCTCAGAATGGCTGCAAGCAGTTACTAGCTGGGTACATGTTTCTACAGGGGAGGGCAACCTTAGCAAATGGTGTCACATCATCACGCGAGTCACGCGCCTCGCTCCTTGCTTGTCACGTGGACAGGTCCTTAAGCGGGAGGAAGACGGTGGCCCCTGGACCGTCTCTGGAGACGAGGATGTCTCTGTTGTTTACGACGAAGAGTGCAGGGCCTTCTTCGTCCGGGCGAAAGTTCACCACTTCAGTCAAGGCTGCCTGGCACGCAAACTGAATCTGCAAAACAACGGCCTAAACGCTCGGGTGTTGTTCGGGCGGCCAAGCAAGAAGGAGTTGGAATTTATTAATGACAAGCCGCTGATGTTTCTGGTGCTGCCGACATCGTATTCCCAAAAAGCCATCACCTCGATCGTGTTGGGCGCGGAGATCGAGGGGGTAGGAGTGAATCTAGCGTTTGACCGAGCGTTGGAGCAAGCCATTCTGTCCGCCGCGACCGAATGCCAGGTGGTTTCGCTTGCGCCGTGCACAAGGGGGGGAGACCCAGCAGCAGGGGAAGAGTGCCCCCATGCCTTTTGCAGCCTGTCGAGGAGTGCAGGAAGCGAGGCAATGGTGGCCTTGGTAACGGTCGATGGATCGACAGTGTTCGTCTGGTTCTCGCGTATTTTCTGGGACCGGACTCGCTACACGGTGCTCCCCGCCCAGTTTTCGGCGAAGATGAGTCCCATTGGTAAGCGTCAATTTGCGCCAGAAGCCTTTACTGTGGTGGACACCGCGGCCATGTCCAACCAGAATGCCCCAATACCAAGCGTGTCGTCAAGAGGCGACCGACGTCTCGACAAACCTGCCCTAGGTTTTCGCGTGGGATCGTCTCCCTTGTGGGATCGGTTGCCACGATTTTGTCTCCAGAGTTTCGGAATCTTCAGTGAGAAACGGGTGGGGGTTCTCAAATGTGGTACAAGACACGGATCCACAGACTGAGAGTCAAGTGTATTCGGAGTCCCGAAAATAGGTTGGACGGAAGCAGCGAAGGTGGAGCGGGGTGTACGGCAGGAAGCTGAGAGGTTTATGACCGCCTGGCACAAGGACGAAGAGGAGGATAGCCGATGACGAGCGCTGAAACGAGACAAGGAAACCAGCAACAGTACAGATATGGCAACAACCAAGGGAGCGAGAGGGGGGCAGAAGGCGGACGAGACGGCGAGGGAAGAAAGTAGATGAGAAGAGGCAGACCGCGTGAGGCCATATTGGCCAAATTGAACTCCTTTGCTGCCCCCCCCCCCCCCCCCTCCCCGTGATTGCACCATTGCATCAATCCCCCACGAGGGATGACGTGCCGAGACCGTTGCTGTTGGCCCTGAGTGTGTTCGCTTGTGTGTTTATGTTGTCGGTGTGTGTTTATTTTATCTTTTCCTTCCTCGTTTTCTTTTCCGTTTTCTTTTTCTATCTCTTTTTCTGTGCAGTGTCCCTCTCGCTTCGGCGTGTGATCTGTTGAATTTCAGTTTATTTCTGCCCCGCATCGCGTGTGTGTAGAGGGGAGCGGAGGGCCCCAGACTATCTGCCGTTGATTTATATTGGCTTGCGGACCCTTCGGGTCCAATTTATCTGAGTATACCTTCGTTAGGTACGTTGATGGCCTATGACCACGGAGATCGCTCGGTCAAGTGTGTGTTTGATCAGTACGGAAAGATGAAGGTACTGGGTAGAGAGATCGGGACGTTTTTTTTTGTGATGACAACAACCAGTTGTTACCTACACGCTACGTTGCAAAAGCTACGTCGCCCAGCATTTCCGTTGGTAGAGGAGTTATACTACTCGAGGCTATGGCCCGAAATTGAAGCAGCAGAAACTTGTGCTGTACTTCCACGCGATCTTGAAAACGGATCGGTTTCACAAACAAATATCATGTGACCGAATGGCTGTGAGGTGTAGGCTATTTATTCCAATTGAATGGGGGCTAGAGATGGATGCGAGGTATTGCCTATTCAAGGTTGGCGCGTGAGGGGAACGACGGTGCGCATGGAGGATGCGCCTGAGATTATCAGTTTCGGGATACGCCTTCGCTATGGGATGCTGCGGGTGGACATGGCTGGAGGAGAACCGATGACGAAAACACTATCTCGGCTAATTTGGGACTGATGCTCGTGAATGTCGGTGAATCGTTCCCAATCAATGTGGACCTTATAAAGGTACTACAGCAGTATCTCCACAACGTCTGTCGAGGACGATTCCCTGTTTTAATAATGGCGTCGATTTCCAATGTACGTTGGTGTAAAATCCGTTTGATTGACTGTAAAACCGTCCATGCTCATAGGGTTGTGAAATTATGTCCTGCCTTGTGTTGCGTTGTCTGCACTGTCGTGCATCCTTTCGAATGACGGCCTGTCGTGATTCTGAGCAGGTTGCGATGTTTCCGAGAACAATGCCGTGAAGTTCCCGATCCTGTAGCGCTGCGCGTGTTCCATTTACTGAACGCCAAAATAGATCGTTTTTCTCAGTTGCACGAGAGGAACGAGGGCAAACTGTAACGCGTGAGGCTGGTTCCCGTATGCCCGTCGTACGACGAGTGTGTCCCCCCAATGCATCGCGTGTCGCTCGATGAGCGAAGACTCGATTCCTACAAGGCGAGCGACAGGAGACATATGGAACTACTGGGTTTTTCTGAAATCCACTCTGCGATCCGTCAACACTCGGCGAAATGCGATCGACGACCTCACTGAATGAATGGGCGACGGGTTAGATCACGACTGCATATTGAGCTGCTGTCCTGTGCATGTGCGTACATAGCAACACGCAGTGCTTGTGCTTCTTTAACTAGCATCCACCGCGCTACTCGGTTCACCAATAGAAAGAGTGCGGGATAACCATGTACACGTTGACGCGAACAACAACGCGAAGAGACGTGATTACGTACAACTTACCTACATGGTTTCGGAAAAACTACCAAGCACAGCAGTATGTTGCCGCACCATCTTTCTAGCTAACAGCGTGTGTTTGTGTCCGTCCCATCTAGACTATTTGGCACCAT